CGGCCCGGCGCGCCACCTCCGCCGGGCGAGAGGAGGAGCCGCGCTCCGAGCGGGAGGAGTCGGGAGCCGGCGGATTTCCTGGGCCCGGCGCGCCAGGGGACCATGGCGTTTGGGAAGGGCCACCGGGACCCCTACGCCACCTCCGTGGGCCACCTCGTAGGTAAGAGGCGCGGGGCGAGACGCCCTCGGAGCGACGGCCCGCGGGCGCCGGGGATCGCGGTGCCCTTCCCGCCGGATCCGTGCGCGGCCAGCGGAGGGGGACGGAGTTGGACCAAGTTGGAGGAAATCGCTTCCCTTCCCCCTGCAGCTTTCCCGAGCTCCCTCTTTCCGCCCGGCCCCGGCCCTGGCCCTCACGTCTGCCCGGGGAGGGACCCACTCTAGAACCCCGCTTCTCAAAATGCCTCTCCCTGCCCCTTCCTTGCGGAGAGAGCAACCGAACAGGTGGGCCGCAGCACGCTGGCGTGGGTGTTTCCGCCTGTGCGGAGAGGCGTGGAAACTTCTGGCCAAGGTTAGGTCCTTTGTCAACCGCGTTGGTTTTACTGTTGTGCCCATTTTACAGATGAGGAAGAAAGCTCAGGGGTGTTAACTGATGTGACTTGTAAGATTCCAAACCACAGTTTTCAGGCAACCTCAGCTGCATCTCTGGGTAAACAAAGAGAATGAAAATGCAAATGTCTGGAGTAGAGGTGCCAAGTGGGGGGTGGTCACAGAGGCCTAGGGAGCAGGGGGCATCGCCCAAACTCGTTTCTCTTGCCTGTGGTGTACTCTGAATTACACAGGTAGAAGGCGGTGAGTAACTCTTACCAGGAGCCCTTTCCTCCCTCTTTTCCCTGGTTCCTCCCCTGGGAACTGGGTGTGGCACCAGTACTCACTAATGCCAGGCAAACTGGGAACTCAGCGGGGTGCTGACATCTAGACAATTGGCAGTTGTAGTAGTAAGGAGGCTCCGAATCACATCGGAGAGATTAGGTCACTGCTCCATTAACAGCTGCGTGAGGCAGAACGTACTACTTAGGAGAACCCGAGTTTCCACATCCTTACAGCAGAAGGAGTAGGGATAAATGCTTTCTTAACTGTCCATCGCCTGGTTGGTTATTAGATACCGGATGTTAGAATACCTTTGTTGGTTGTCCCGTATTAGAAGGAACTGTGAGCATAAACCAGATTCCGGCTGAATTGCCATAGGCAAAAGAATTGCCAGCGGTATGTCTGATTAATTCTTTAATTCTGTAAACATTTACTAACTGCCAACTACATACCTGAAACTGGACCAGGCACCCCCACCAGGCAAAAGTAGGAGATGACTTCAAACCTCGGGGAGCGAACTCACTTGCTTACAGGGACGACAAACACCAAGTGTTGGGATTGACACTGTCCAAAACCTTCACAATACCAGAAGAATGTAAAACACGCAAACCGAGGAAGGGAGAGAGGTGGGCTGTGCTGTGGTGTTGGAAGGCTGACTTGTTTTCAAGGCAGATGAGAAAATCTAGAGGGAAGAGTTAGCAACAGGCACGGAGCATCTGGCAGGTAGAACTGGTGCCTCACAGCACCTGTTGGTCAGCTTTAGCACCCAGTGCCAAATTAGCAGGATAAACTTTGGGATTCCCCCACACCAAGCCCCCTTTTGCCTTACTGTTGGCTAATCTTTTTCATTATTCTGTCTTCATTCCCAAGACTCTATGTTTGTGTGGGCAGGGTCTTCTCCCCCCAACTTTTTTTTGTCTTTTTGAGACAGGGTCTCCCTATGCAGTTTAGACTGGCTGTGAGCTGATTTTGTAGCCCAGGCTGGTCTCAAGCTCACAGAGATCCTCCTGCCTCAGCCTCCCGAGTGCTAGGATTACAGGCGTGCACCACCAGCCTGGCACCACCAGCCTGGCTAAGCCGTTCATTAATGTTGGCTTGAACAGTTTATCTTCCTGAGACCCATTATTGGGTCTTCCCAGTAATACTTTGTAATATTAAAGAGGACATCTGGTGGGGAGGAATATATAATTTTTGTTTGTTTGTTTGTTTGTTTTTCCGGTACTGGAATTGAACTCACGACGTCGCGCTTGCCAGGCAGGCGCTGTGCTGCTGAGCTAAATCCCCAGCCCTATATAATTATTTAATAATAGAGTTCCTGGTATAAGAACCTGCAACTCCTCATGGTGCAGCTTTGGTTAATCTAGGAAACAGAAGAGATCACTTCTGGTTTTCTCACCCTCTTTCAGTGAATAAATTTTAAAAGCAAATACTGGGATCCAGCAACTTCCATTTGAATGCAAGTTCTACCTCCTACTATGTAACCCTGAGTAGTTTCCTTAACCTGTGGTTGTTTTTGTTTCATCAATTCTAACAGTGGGCTCGATGAGATTGCATAAGATAGAGTACTTAGCCCTGTACTGCTCACCTGGTAGGTGGCTGCTCAATAAGCCATACTTCCGTTCTCTGAAAGATGGACAAACGGCGATTTAGCCGGCCTGATCGGGCCCAGTGGCCAGGTGTTGTGTTTGCAGTCTTTATTAATAGGTCACTCATTACTTTTGCAAAAGCAGCTCTTTGAATTTGAGTTCTGATTGATTCCTCAATAGCAGGGAATAGTTCAAGGGGAAAAAAAAAAACCACTTGGCCCTTTAGCATATCACAGTACTTGCTGCTACATCTGAGGCAGATTGTTTCAGAGAGACCAGGCTTTTTTTTTTATTCTGTTGTAGCTCAGGTTGAACACGAGCCTTTTCTTTGCAGAAAAAGCTACATTTGCTGGTGCTCAGACTGAAGACTGGGGTCAGTTCATGCACATCTGCGACATAATTAACACCACCCAGGAGGGGTAAGTCCAGTGTTACCTCCAAGTATTTGTCCCTGAGAAGAAACACGAGACTACGCCATGTTTTCTCCTGCAGACTCTTTGGTTTTCTTGTTAAAAGATTGTTTTCATCATCCCACAGCCATCTGCTACCTCTGGAAGGCGCCAGGTTGATGTGTTAGGGCAGTTCTCTGCTCCAGCATATGGTGTTATCTTTTTTTTTGCCTTTATTTTTTCTTTTTGCCTTTTCTTTAAGAAGTTTCAGATTTTCTTTCTGTGGTGGCTCAAGTTGTTTCTAAAAGATTAAGAGAAAAGAGAGCTAGATTGTTTCCTTCTTTAGGATTTTTCCTGCTCTGATTGCCAACATTTTATGTAACTGAAAAAATATTATCCAGAAGCTAGTTGACTCCTAGTGGTGACTGGTTTTCTGAGCAGTCATCTTTATTAACTTTTTTCCTCCTTCTTACCGGTTTTTTTTTTCTTAATGCTAACTCACTGAAGTTCATGCCATGTTCTTAAGTGATGTGCGATCTTTTGATGTACTTTTTAAATTTCAGAGGATTGAATTTATTTAATAAGTCATTAAGGAGCTGGAGATATAGCTCAGTGGCACAGCGCCTGCCTGGCAAGCGCAAGGTACTGAGTTCGATTCCCAGTACCAAAAAAACAAAGTCATTCAGAAAGTCCTACTAGTTTGACTTTGGAAAACTGCAGGTTAATATAAAGGTTACGCTTCTGTTCTTTTTCTGTACGTATTAAAGCAATAACTGACAGTAAAAGATTTAGTCTAGTTTATATTAATGAAGAAAATATTGCAGTTTAATTATTGATTACATGTCAGTGGAAAGTACTATGGTTAGCACTCTTTTTTCTTGTCCTTTTGAGACAGGATCTTGCTATGCAGTTCAGGGTGGCCTTGAGCTTACTTTGTAGCCCAGGCTGGTCTCGAACTCTCAATGATCCTCCTGCCTCAGCCTCCTGAGTGCTGGGATTACATGTGTGCACCACCGTGCCTGGTCCATGGTTAGCACTGTTAAATATTTGTACTTTTTTCTCTATAATCTTGTTTACTGTGTTTAGATCCTCTCAACCTTTTCACTGATAATTCCAGTTTCTTCATTGATAATACAGAAAAGGCATCTTAGGGTAACCTCTACTTATAGTTCTTTCTCCTGTAGCCTTTCAGAAGCTCACCTTGTAATTCTTCTTATGCTCCCAGGCCTATAGGTTGCCCAGGAAATACTAATAGTCTTTTTTTTTTTTTTTTGGTACCAGGAATCGAACTCAGAGTCTTGCGCTTGCCAGGCAGGCGCTTGTGCCGCTGAGCTACATCCCCGGCCCTGATAGTCTTAATTAAGAGGGTCTCCTTCATTGGTTTGGATTGCACTTGCTGTAAATTGGTTGTATGCATTGATAGAGGTGGGGTGGGCACATTCCGTGGGCAGTGCTTTGTAGGTAACGCTTTTACGTAAATGTGGTTTTTATTTTTTATTTTTTGGTTTTGGTTTTTCTCCGGTACCGGGAACCGAACTCACAACCTTGCGCTTGCCAGGCAGGCGCTTTGCCGTTGAGCTAAATCCTCAGCCCCTTACGTAAATGTTTCTTTGGATTTTCACAAGTGGAAAGTGGTAGCATCCGCTTATGTTCATGGGGGACTTAGGTGGAAAAAGCTAAGTGATCCAGCAGAGATGCTACAGCAGACCCAAGATTTTTGCTCCTTGGCCATTCTTCTTTCCACAAAGCATATTGTTTTTCAGAGAGACTGCTTGCGTGCCGAGATTCGTGATTTCAGTTTATTTATTGCCGTAGGCCAAAAGATGCAGTGAAAGCCTTGAAGAAAAGGATTTCCAAAAACTACAATCATAAAGAAATCCAACTTACCTTGTCAGTAAGTACTTTAACGTTCCAATTAAGACTCCAGAATTTCCCACGCTGTAGTCACATATTTAAAAAATAATAATTCTGAGATAACTTACTAGGTCAGCAAAAGTTATATCCTGTATGAATTAAGACTTCTCATGTATTGAGAAGTACAAAACAGAGTTTAGCTGGTTATAATAGTAGCTTTTACTTTTGGGGAAGAAAAGTGTCCCTGTTTTATCTGGATAGGAAAAAGGAACTGGTGGCTTAAAAGTTGTAGCTACTAAGTGAATCAAGAAATCTGTGTGTGGGCTGGGTAAGCATAATTGAAGATGAGGAGAATTAGAGATGTGGAAAAATGCCTCCCTGTTAGCTTTCTACCTCACCTGAGTATCTGTGTGGAATCTTGAGTTGCTGGTAGCTTATGTCCATCCAAGGTCAGCGACTTGGTATGCCTTACAGAAAGTTCTGTGTTGATGTAAGCAATTCCTCTGTGTGCCATATCATCTGTGATTTGGATGTGGACTCTTTATTTGACATGTTCCCGTTTCCTCTTATTTTTGGCTGTCTGACCTCTTCAGTAACCTTGGAGAGTTGTCCTTTTTACTTTTGTGTGTGTATTAGGAGCCCTGTTTGCTGCCTAATAATAAGTTGTGTGGCTTTCTGATTCCGTCTGAATGCCTTTACTATACTTCTCTTCTTCCAGTCCTGGACTACTCATAGTTATGGCAACAATTGCCAGCACCACCCTGCTCTTAAGAGCTTTGGGAGTGTTTATCAAGAGGGCTATAGGGCAGATATGAGCACAGCTCGCTGTGTCTAGATCCGCAACAGAAAATGCATCACATCTGATGTCCTTGGAAACCAGCTGAATGAGAAGAAATGAATTGACTTCTCATAATGCCATCACTAAGAAAACCTTTCAGATGGGATCTGAAAATAGTTTCAGAGGTGTCTTCCTCCTTCACCCTCCTATGTCTAACTTATAACAGGCACCTCAGGAAGATCACAGAAGGCAGCAAGCCATGGAGAAACGACTAAAGCGCTTCAGTAGAAATACAAAAACACTAGAGCAGTAGCAGAAAGGCTTTACACCTGATTGATGCTGTTGGCATGGGTGGAGATGGTTGTTATTATTTGTTCCATTTCACAGATGGTGAAACTTAAGACTGAGAAGTTAAGTGAATTTTGAGATTAAATGGCTATTAGGTAGCATAGGCAGGATTTGAACCTAATCCTCAGATTTCTAAATCTCATTCCCTTGCCCTATACCAAGTTGTTTCTCAGAATGAATCAAGTCTTTTTAAAAGAACAGGCTACTATGTTTCATCTGCCTGTTGCACTGGTGAAGGCCAGGTACATTAGAGTATCAGGTGTTGACTGAATTAACGATTAAGTGTCCTCACACACACCTCATCCCAATTCCTAGTATCCAGGAAGACTTAAGAGCTAATGAAAAGAAATACAGAGTTAGGCCCAAAAGAAATGTAGATATGCTCTAAAATGAAGTAGATCCAGGGTTTCTTGAAGCTGCAGAAAATGAGGAGAACTGAGCGAGGGAGATAAGGCAAGAAGATGAGTTTGTGTCTATTTCCGCATGGGGTATTGCTCTGCTGTCTTACAGGCGACCCCCTGTCGTGGTTTGCCTCTTTCTGTGTCATGTGCAACCTACAAGATGTTTTTGTGGTTGCATTTCTCCATTTCCCCATCTTCTACCATCGTGGTTGCTTCCATCTAAGCATGGACCAGGGCCTTCCCTGCAGCGTTGGCTTATGACAGAGTATTGTTCCTCTGGCTCTCCGTTTTTCTTTGGGCTCCCTGTCTCCCTGCCGTTGAGCTGGTCCAACCTTGCAAACCTTACTGCTTGCCTCCAGTGCCTGGCTCACCTCACAGCCATAGCTCCTCCTCAGCATTTCCGTACCTAGCTGCTTGCCTCCAGTGCCTGCTCACCTCACAGCCATAGCTCCTCCTCAGCATTTCCGTACCAGTGTCTAAGGGTAAGAGAATCTAAACCCTGTGCTTCACTAGAAATGAGAGTCATGGGTTAAGGGTTAGAATACAACTTCCTCGTTAGAGGCACAGTTCATTCAGATCAGGAGTAACAGCTATTTTCTCTTGCTTTTGATTCTTGACATGTTTGGACAGATTTCCCGATGCTATCTGTATAGCAGACCAGGCACCTTACCTCAGGCTGCTGGTCACATTGCAGAGGTGTACACACAGCCTCACAACTGACTTCGGTGTTCACTTAAGCCCGTCTTAAATTACGAGGGAAATTAGTTATAGAAGGAATCACCCAATGTCTGTCAAAGGCAATTACACGTTTACCAATAAACTCTTTAAAAAACAATTCCCATAAGTGACATTTCCATCTTACTACTACGAAGTGATGAGAGTGTGTCACAGTCAATTATGAATGTTCTTTGTATTATCTGTCATTTTGGGTCCTCCATGGACTTGTTAGCCTTGATTAGCTCTTTGATGGAATCTGACTGTACTGTGATTTCCTACCATCAGTGGATGGGGCAGTTTTATCAAGAAGTCTGGAGTTGGTTTTTATTTTCTGTGGGAGGGTCCTTGAGCATGTTAGGCAAGCAATCTGCTTCTATTACTGGGCTATAGACACTCCCAGGCCAAGAAGTTAGTAGTTTTCTTTTTTAAAAAAACCTTGCTACGGTGCTGGGGATTTAGCTCAGCGGCACAGCGCCTGCCTGGCAAGCACAAGGTCGTGAATTCGATTCCCAGTACTGGAAAAAAAATAAATAAAAAAACATTGCTACTAGGCTTTGTTACTCTGAGGTAGACTGTCCTTTTCTTGAATGAGTCATTGTGTTATATCTTGGCAAGATACTACTGTCATTGTTGCATGTCCAGCGATGAGACAGGTTTCTGAGAACCTGAATTATTAGGCCTTTGTGGAACACCCACTAAGTGGTGAGCTATAGTTGTTCCCAAGATGTTGGGCTGGGGATATAGCTCAGAGGCTCAAGTCCCTGACTAGCAAGCTCAAGGTCATGAGTTTAAGTCCCAGTACCAAAAAAATAAAAAAGAATAAACACCAAGATGTGTGAAATGTTGGTGCAGTTATAGAGAATAAGGAAAACCGAGCTCTCTCCTAGGAGTGTTCTAGTAGAGTAAGGGTAGCCATGCTTTGGTATGGTCAGCATGGGTGGTCTCTGCACCGTCATCAGCTCTTATAGCCCCAAATCTTGGTGATTGTCACTGTGTGTGTTGGTCAGCTTTTCATCACCGGGATCAGATGCCTGAGAACAAGGGAGGAAAAGTTGGTGTGTAATTTTTCCAGTTTGGTTTTATTACTGCTCACAGGGGCTAGGGGTTCAGTACTAGAGACGTAATAGAGGAGGTGATGTAGAAGTAATCAATCCTGACATGCCGGATTCCACTGGGTAAACACAAAAGGCATGATTGCTGATCTCCAGATGTTAACCTTCTCAGAGCTCCATGTTGACTGTTTGATTTTGTGCATGGATCTACTGGGAATGTTACCCATTATCATAAAATATTAGTGCTCCAAAAATTCAACGTGTGCTACAGTTAGCAAGAAATTCACCATTCCATTTATTTCACTGTAAAAGAAAGTAGGGCCAGGGATGTAGCTCAGTTGCACAGCACCTGCCGGGCAAGTGTGAGGTCCTGAGTTTGATTCCTGGTACCAAGAAGCCAGGTATCTTGCTTAACCTGCACAAACAATTGTCTGAAGTATTTCTGTTTTGTTTTGTTTTGTTTTTGTCTTTTTGAGACAGGGTCTCACTGTGCAGTTCAGGCTGCCCTTAAGCTCATTTTGTAGCTCAGGCTGATCTTGAACTTGAAATGATCCTCCTGCCTCGGTCCCCCAAGTGCTGGGTTTACAGCCGTGCGCCACCATGCCCAGCATATAGCTGAAGTATTTCTGCAAACTCAAACTGAACTACAGACACCTGTCCTTTCAGCACTTCACCAGTTTTTTTGTTTTGTTTTGTTTTTCTCCGGTACTGGGAGTCGAACTCACGACCTTGTGCTTGCCAGGCAGGCGCTGTGCTGCTGAGCTAAATCCCCAGCCCCCAGCACTTCACCAGTTAGAAACTGATTATTTAATAATACTCGGACAAGCTCCTGTCATTTGTTGTTCGCCCATTCAGCTTTGTCTACCCAGCTTGTATTGATACAGATCCATCTGTATTTTGGATTCTGCATTTATTTTCCTTCACTTTAAAGCATTGTCCCGTGTTTCATGTAGCTGTATGTCCTCAGCTTCTGTATTTTCTGATTGCTTTTTTGGTCACCTCACTGTAAAACTGTCACTTTCATACCTGTTGCTGCTTTTTGTATTGCCATTAAAGTGACACTTTAGATACAGGGCATGGTGTAAAGACAAGGCATATGTTTTGCAGAGATGTTGATACCTGTCCTGGTCAGGCTGTGGTTTCCGGGACTTCTAACTCAAGGTGCTGGCGTGGAAACTAGAAGGTCCCTTCTAGAAATCTATTTTCAGCTGTAGTTCTTCCACACCAGCTCACACTTTCTCTGTTTCTGTTTGCCGCTCTCCTTACCTAAGTTATGTTTTTTTTTTTTTGTCTTTTTTTGAGACAGGGTCTCGGTATGCAGTTCCGGCTGGCCTTGAGCTCACTTTGTAGCCCAGGCTGGTCTTGAACTTACAACTATCCTTCTGCCTCAGCCTCTGGAGTGCTGGGATTACAGGTGTGTGCCTTCATGCCCAGCCCTAAATTGTGTTCACCTTGTCCTTTGCCTTCCTTGAGTTTCTCCAGCGTATGTAATAGGTGAGGCCAGTGCCCTAGTGATTTCTCCTCCGTACTCACCCCAGGTGGCGTTGATGACTTACTGGTGGCCCTTAACTCTCTTAAGGTGTAGCCATGCATGTACAGTTCCCTGCAAAACATCTCCTTGAACGACCTGCTTTATACTCAAAATATCTCAATTTCCACCAGTCCTTTTTATGCCTGACATTTCCAGTCATACTGCTCCCTCCACTTCCAGGCTCCCGAGGAAGATACCCTCCGTCTCATGTCCAGAGTGAAGGTCACTTAATTCCCAACCCCCTTCCTTCTTTGACATTAACCATTCCATGCTCTCCCTGCGTACTTTTCTCTTGACTTTCCCTCTCGTGGGTCTATGCTGTCGTAGTTTAGACATTTTCTGCGTCACACCCCTGTGAGCTCTTCCTCCTCTTCTTGGTGTTTTGCTTTCCAGTTCCCTTTGTAGAGCGCTGCCTGAGGACCTTTCCACAATGTTACTTTGCATGCCTGAACCTTGTCCTTGAGCTCCAGGTAGAGGAGTGATGGTAACAAACTGACAGAAACCCCTTAGGGGCCTTCTTAGTACCTTCAGGGCAACGTCTGAATTCATTTTACCAGCCCACAGATTTTTGTGCTGTCTGGAAGATGTCCTGATAGGCTTTAGGCACCCTATTTCCCTAATGTCCCCCACCCCAGTTTGCCTTTATTAAGAAGCTATTGCCAGAGACAAACCAGAATATTGCTCTTCCCCCTCATAACTCAACCATGCCGCTACCTTTATCTTTTTCTCATGCCGTTTGTGTTAGCCGTGTTTCCATTATTGAAACAAATACCCGAGATACGTTATAAGGAGAAAGGTTTCTTTTGGCTCATGGTTTCTGAGGTGTCAGTCCATGGTTGGTTGGCCCCATTGCTTTTAGGCTTGTGATGAGATAGCACATCATGGCAGAAGCATGTAACAGAGCAAAACTCTTTGCCTCATGGGTAAAAAGTGAAAAAGAGAGAGAAAGAGACCATGGTTCCACAGTCCCCTTTGAGAATACACTCATAACCTAAAACATCTCACTAGGCTGTACATCTTAAGCGATCCTTCCCCCTTCCCAATAGCACCAAGTTCGTGTTTTAACCTTTAATACATAGATGTTTGGGAGATATTCCGGATCCACACTGTAGAAATGTTTATCTGTCTGTAAGATGGCTATGTACTCATTTTACTTTTCTTAGCCATTTTTCCAAGTCCAGCGTAGGACTAGATTTTTCCAAAAGTCTTGTAAGATCATCTGTCCCTAAATAATAACACTTGCATGTGAAGGTGGTATAGCTAGGCTGACTGTGCATTTTATCATCCAAACCGGGACATTTTTGAGAACAAAAGTGTTTGTTGCCATTAATAAGCACAGGGCAGCAGGAACCCACTAGACCTACCCTGATTGAGCTGGTACAAGTGTCACCCTGACTGTCACCCATATGATTTGTTTGCGTTTCCCATTTAGCCATGGCATTTACCACCTTGCACTGCTAGCGGCACTCTTATAGTTGTGCCCTTTCTCTCCGTCAAGTCTAGTCTACAAGCCAGTGGTGGTGAGCCTGTTGTAGCACAGAATGCTGTTTTTGTCACTGATTGCTCTGATCCGGTCGCCCTCACTGCTCTAGGCAGTTACACTAGAACTTCACATTTGCCATGTATTTTAATGGAAAGTAAATAATGCCTGTCAATTAGATTGCTGATAAGAGTTATTACTTAGCACATTTTGTCTTCTATTTAAGAGGTGGCTATGCCAGAGAAATGTAAAGTTTGTTTTTCTCTCTCATTTAGCTTATTGATATGTGCATGCAGAACTGCGGGCCAAGCTTCCAGGCTCTGATTGTGAAGAAGGAATTCGTTAAAGATAGTCTAGTTAAGCTGCTGAACCCCAGATACACCTTGCCATTAGACATTCAAAATAGAATCTTGAATTTCATTAAGGTAAGTCCGTCGTATGCTTTATGGGATGATAAATTTCTAAGATGGGGAATTGAATGACATGCCTGCTGATGGTTCTGGTGATCCTTTACACAGCCATAAAACATTTTTGCTGTTCTGGTTTCTGTGGACTAAGACTTTCTCGGCATTGTGTAGTACTTTTACTGAAGAATTTGTAGTCATTTCCCTACTTGCCTGTCCGTTTCTATTTTATCCTTGTCAAGTAGGCAAGATAGTGATGTGTGTGTTTATTTTGCAGATACGGAGACTATGTCCTGGAGTAGATAACTGACTAGTTCAAGGTTACTTAGCAAAAGAGCTACTGATACTATTTTAGAATCTCTTAATATTGGATTCAGGACAGCAAAAGATGAGTGATAGTATCTCTCCCAGGGTTTTGTCAAGATATTAAAGCATGGCAGTCTCTTGATGTCAAATATTTTATACTATTCTAGCCTTTGTGCATAACCTTCAAAAATTAACTTTCTCTGAATAACACATAGTTGTTAACTTTCTCATTTACCATTATAAGCTTAAGAATTGTTCTGTTTTTGCTGTTGTTTTGACTCTGGAACTTTCTGTCTCTTGAGCTCAGACGTGGTCACAAGGTTTCCCGGGAGGGGTGGATGTAAGTGAAGTGAAGGAAGTGTACCTTGACCTGCTTAAGAAGGGTGTTCAGTTTCCTCCCTCGGGTGCAGAAGCTGAAGAAGCAGCAAGACAGGAGGTAGGAGGCTTTCTTCTTTGCCCCATGGAGAAAAAGATAAGATAATTATGTTACTCGCATCTGTTCTTATTGCAAGGGACAACCCTAGCTCATGCAGTTTAAAGAGATGAATATATTAGAAGAATATGACCATATCTCATCAAGTAACCAAGGCTTACGACCTAGCTACTCAGATGTGATCCTCTAAACTAAGTCAGACTCTTCCTTTATATAAGATTCCTAGGTATTTTGTCTGCATATTAGTGTTGAGAAACCCTAACAGAGGGCCTCTAGCATTGGCTGGTCGCTCAAGGCTGCACATGAGGCAGTTACTGAGGGAGAAAGGTGTCCATGGTACATTGGCAAACCTATGGCATGTGTGTTATTGGTTTTTCTTTTAAGACAAAGGATGTTAAGGGATGAATTGTTTTTTCTAAACTCAAACCTCAGTATTCAGGCGTAATTGCAGTGTTGGCACTTTGCAGTAAATAAGTGGGTTTTGCATTGCGGTTTGGGAACTAATCTCTAAAAGGTTCACCATCTTAAAAAGACTGGACAAGAACTGAATTTCCACTTTTTTTTTTTAAACAACCCAAAGGGGGCAGCAGTAATCTCATTTGTCAGCTCGTCAGGCAGGCCCTTGGTAAAAATCAAGAGCACTTTATTGAGTTGTAGTTCAGGTAGGAAACCACAATGCAGCCCCATTTTATTGAATACGTGCTCTGTTCTGGGCACGTCATTGGCTTAGCACTCTTTTAAAAATTCTGGGTAGGCTGTACGTTTGATGATTGACTCTGAGCTAACAGCTCATACTCGAGACTTTGGTTGGGAGTGTATGCGTCATCTGAATGGAAAAACTGGGCTCGAGATGGCTGTGTTCACTCACTTCATAGTATCTCCGTATTTCAATTGGATAGACTCCGCGGATCTCATCGAGTCCTCCAACCTCTGTCCCGACGGCACCAGCTCTTTCTCCTGTAATTACTCCCAAGAATACAACTATTACGCTGGTCCCAGAACAGGTAACAACAGTGACAACTGTATTTATTGATGTCTTCCTCTAAGCATTATGTATATAATTTGTTTTTCCTTTTTAATAACATCATGGGGTATAGGTACATTGTTATCCTTATTGTAGAGTGGAGAAAACCGCAGCTTAGATTGTATGACTTACCATGGTTCATTTCTAAGCAGAAGTCACCCAGGAAGTTCTCTCTGATTGCAGAGCTGACATTTTGGAGAACGGTTGTTGGCTAGTAGAGTTCAGGGTTTTATGGTGCCTTGGCTCTGGACTGGTTCTGTGTGTACCAGCTGATTCCTGTTGGTGCTGGTAAGACTATCCATGTATCATTTGAGAGCGCTCAGTAGATGATGGCTTACTACTTGTATTAATTGTGCCCAGTGAAATGCCTTTGCTTCTTTGTTTCTAACTATTTATCAGAGATCCAGATAAGCAATTATATGAAGCTTATTGGGGTTGTTTGGTTTTTGTTTTTTGGGTGCCGGGAATCAAACTCAGTACCTTGTGCTTGCCGAGCAAGCCCTGTACCACTGAGCTGTGTCCTTGGCCCCAGAAGCTTGTCTTGGTATAAAGGAGCTATCACTGAAGCCTTTGTCTTTGTATTATTCAATGTCTCCTAAATAAACATCCATGTGATTAATTCCTCCTAGAATTTAATCCAGGAAGAAGAACACGTTTCTCTTTCTGTCTGTCTTCCTGTAATACCATGAGAATGCGAATGTATTAGTCACTTTTCGATCACTGGGACAAAATATCCAATCCCCTCAATTTGAAAGTGGAGAGGTTTATTTTGGCTTACTGTGTCAGAGAGTATAGGCTGTGGTTGGCTAGCTCCAGCAGGAATCGCATGAGAGAAGGACATGGCAAAGGAAAGCTTCTCAAGTGGCAGCCAGGAAGCTCAGAGACAAGGGAGGAGCCAGGAACAAGAATACACCCTTCCAGGTCACACCCTCAGTGACTCATCCCTGCTAGGGAGACCCTACCTTCTCACAGCACATTTGGCTGCGTATTAATCCCCCGATGAGTATAGCACCCCCACCTAATAATCATCCTGTAAAAGCCCCATCTTTGAACACAGGAGACTTTGGGGGGAGCATTTTAGATCTAAAAACAATATCTAACAATCTTTTTTATTTTTTTTCCCCTTTTCCAGTTGATTACCAAGATTAGGGGCTGGGGATTTAGCTCGGCGGCAAAGCGCCTGCCTGGCAAGCGCAAGGTTGTGAGTTCGGTTCCCGGTACCGGAGAAACCCCCCCCCCCAAAAAAAAAGAAAAACCAAGATTACCCTTGCCATTTGGCCCTAGGTTTTAGTACTTTCTCCTGCTAGCTACCTACTCCTTCCTCCCCTCTTCCTGTTGGTTCTAGTATTTCTATTTCCTTAATGTTCAGCTTTCTCAGAGCATGTTATTTTTGGGTTTACAAAGAGATCTCAAGTACATTTATTTAGAAGGTGACAGTATAATTTGTAAAATAATAATTATATATCTGTATATGTATCTATATTTGTATGAACTTAAATATGCTTGAAAATACCAAATTTCTTTTTTTGGCTTTTTTTTCGGTACCAGGAATCGAACTCACGACCTTGCGCTTGCCAGGCAGGCGCTTTGCCGCTGAGCTAAATCCCCAGCCCGAAAATACGAAATTTCGCAAAAGCATTTCCTCTTCCAGCATATGTCCCATGAACAGAACAGAAGTGTTAGGCCTTTTTACCTGTCACACTTACTGACTATGGCTGTTGCTCTCCACAGATTGGAAAACTGCACAGCGAACTGGATATGGTGAAAATGAATGTGAGGGTGATGTCTGCCATACTGGTGGAGAACACTCCCGGGTCTGAGAACTCTGATGACTTAGAGCTGCTACAGGTACAGTATGACCTGGGCAAGGAAAGTGTCTCCCTGCAGGTCATTCTTGGAACGTTGAGCTCTGGAGAGGGAAGGCTCTCTAGTATGGTGTGGTCCACCCCTTTCCATCCTGATCTTGTTTGATTTCTAAACTTGACAAAAACATCCAAGGATGATTTTTTTCAGAAATGCAGTAGTAACTTGGATATGATCCTTACCTACTTGCAAAAACTAGTTCATTATAATTTATACTCTTGGTCATCTGGAATCTAGTCTGTCCTTGTTTTAAACATGTAAAAATTGCCTTTACATCCATCAAGTTGATAAATTTGAGTGACTCTAATGTAGTAGGGGCGTAGAAGTAAAGAGGCTGTCCTAGTCTTTAAGAACTTCCGTTTAACAAACAAGATTGTTTTGTAAACCACATGGTAAGTATCGCAGAGGCTATAATATAAAATTTGTCAAATATGTGATGGGATCTTGAGTAGAGACAAGGAGAAAGGTGAGGATTCTAAGACAGGTTCAGTTGCAAATAATACTCAGCCTGTGAAACACAGGTTCGCTGGCTGTGGGAGTTCAGGAATCCGAAGTAATCCATGAACAGGGGGCTGGGGATTTAGCTCAGCGGCACAGCACCTGCCTGGCAAGCGCAAGGTCATGAGTTCGATTCCTGGTACCAGAAGAAAAAACAAAAAAATGAAAAACAAGCAAAAAAAAATAAAAACCAAACGATGAGCAGTTGGATGGCCCTGACAAACCTCCTCCTATGTCTTCTATACGTTCATATACTTTATTTTTTCCCTCTGCTGGACTGTTTATCTCATTATCAATTTTAAATCTCAACACTTAACTAGTTTTAGCTAGGCATTGTGGCACACTCCTACTTAGTCCCAGCACTCAGGAAGCGCAAACAGGATGATTGCTTGAGCCCAGGGATTTGAGATCAGCCTGGGCAGCATATCAAGACCCTGTGTTAAAACAAAATATGGTGCATGCCTGTAATCCCAGCACTCGGGAGGCTGAGGCAGGAGGATTGTTATGAGTTTGAGGCCAGCCTGGGCTACAAAGTGAACTCAAGGCCAGCCTGAGCTGCATAATGAGACCTTGTCTCAAAAAGACAAAAAAAGAAAAACAAAATAACAAAATACTTAATTTTATTTAATATTTACTAATTTCAGAAGCAGCTAGAAAAAAACTCAGCTTCTAAGGATTTTTTCCCAAAGAGGTTAAGAACATTGCCTTATTTTTACTTCTCTCAAATTCCCATCCCCCAGGTCTCATGTTGGTTTCATTTATCTATTTATTTATTTTTGATTCATTCTGTTGTTAGTAAATACCATTTTTCTTACTCATTTTGGGGACAAAAAAACTGAGAAACTTTCTTCAACAGTGCTTATTATATATCAGTGCTGTATCCGCGAATCATTTGTTATCCTTGCTAAAGTTTATCTATCTACTGATAGCAAACTTTGGATGTTTGCATGTCCCAAGACGTCTTTTTTGTTGCCATGTTAAATGGCAGTTAGTTTAGCTACATAGAATTTTAGGTACCGGGCCAGAGATACAGCTCAATGGCACAGCACCTGCCTGGCAAGTGTGACACTGTGAGTTTGATTCTCAGTACCAAAAAAAAAAAAAGAATTTTAGGTAAAAAATTCTTCACTTTAAGTCCTTTGAAGGTAATGCTGCATTGTTCTCTTATACCCTGTGATACTGATGGGAACTATGCTGGTATCTTGACTCTTTGGTTGTTTTTTTTTGTGTGTGTGTTTCTGAGACAGGGTCTTGCTGTGCAGTTCATGCTGGTCTTAAATTCACTTTGTAGCCCAGGCTGGTCTCAAATTTGCAACGATCCTCCTGCCTCAGCTTCCCGAGTGCTGGGATTCTAGGTGTGCGCCATCACACCTGGCAGACTATGGTTCTATTCCGATTCTCTTGTTTTATAATCTATTATTTTTTTTTCTGTTTCCATTTTGTGATTTCTCTTTACCTGAGTATTTTTGAAGGTTCACTGTACCATGTTGGAAGTGATGTGTGCATGCATGTGTGCTTAGCTTACTTACCGTACTTGGTAGTTCCTAGATCTTTTTGCCTATCAACTTGCATATATTTTTAATTCTAGGAATTATTCAGATCTTTCTGCAAATATTGCTTCTTTTCTCTGGCTTCCAGTTAGAGTTGCCTCTTACCATTTCTTCTGTACTTTTCATATCTTCCTTTGCTTGTGTTGTAGTCCTGGGAAAAATTCTGTAGTCGGTACATTGTTTCTTTAAAACTCACGCATCAGATTGGCTAGCCAGTGTTCCCATAAATGTTTTATTTCAGCAGTTACATATATTTTTCAAAAATATACTTGGATTTTTATAAGAGTTTTTTTTTTTTTAAGGTTGTACCTTTTCTGTCTACGTTTCTAAGGTGATAATTGTTTTTGAAGTTGCTTTTTCTATTTCCTTACAAAGTCTTCATCACACATTCTTTTGTGTGTTACCTCTTTTGAGTCCTCAGCTGTCTGGCTGGATTGCTGATGGTGAGCTCATTTTTGTGGGACATTCTTTGCCAGGTCATCTGCATTTTCTGCTGAGCCAGCTCGCCCGTGCTGAGGAGAGGCTGTGCTTGCTATAGTCTGGGCTTGGTGCTGTTTTCTGAGTAAGGAGTACCAGCCTGGGGCGATGCTGGGTGGGATCCATTAATAGCTGGTCTGTTGGGTTACAGGCTTCCTGTCTTTTTTTCCTGGATGCTGCCGTTGTGCTTTTCTCTTACTTAGAAGGTAGCAGAAGGTAACTTACAGACCAAATTTGTCCTGTTTTCTTGCTACTCATGGGCTCCGAAGGGTTAGTTGTGTTTCTTTGTTTTTTGTTTTTTTCTGAGACAAGATCTCACTATGTAACCCAGGCTGGCCTTGAACTGGCAAGGATCCCCCACCTCATCCTCCCTGCTGAGTGCTAGGATTATACGCATGCCCCACTATGCCCTATGATGGGTTAGTTTTAGGTACTAATTAAAACAAAAAGCAAAATCCTCAAAACTATTTCTCCAACTATTATCTATGCAAATCAATAACCAGAGAGCCCTGGGATCTCAGCTACACCTTTTAAGGAGCTCCTTACCACCTCCCACCTCACTGTGAATGGAGTAAGCTTGTGGCATTTCTTAGATATGTAGGGATAAGAGGTCGTGTAAAGTTCCAGACAGGTAAGATCTGATCTTCATAGGTTAGGGAAGACTTTCGTGCTGTGCCCGAAAGGGGGCTGGCTGGGCAGGCGGGCTAAGGGGAGCCAATGAAAGCGCTGTAAGCTAAAGAGCTGCTTTTTAACCGGATCAGATTTTAGCAGGATCCTCCTGACATCATTTTGATGATAAAGCCTGGGGAAGTGAGATATAGGAGTCTTGATTTGATGCTGTGTTCTATGGGTAGAAAATGGTATCTGTGGTCCAGGAGATTTGCAAAGCCAGTTGCTTATTTTATCTCTCTTCTTGGCTGTTTGTAAAGCTCACTGTTTTAGTAAGGCCCTAAGTGCTTTTGTTTAACCCAGCATTTCCAAACCTACTTGAGCAAAGGATCCCCACTTGCTAAGGGTCTGCTGGCATTCTATAGAACATGATAGTAGACTACCTTGAGCAACGGATCAGTATTTTCAATCATTGTTTTTATATGTATATATTATTTTTAGAATGAGGAGCATTATATTCTTTTGCTACACATTGTCAGAGTTCTTGCCTTTAGGGGAGTCACTTTGCATCTTTGGATTTCGTTTCTATCTGTATAAAGTGAAAAGCTTAGATGATATTTAGTAAACAAAAAAATGAAGCACATGATATATTAAAAGAAAAATTAAAAGTCCATATGTAGTAATCCTTTTTTAAAAAAAACCCATTAGAGCCTTTTCTTATTTTTATATTTATTTATTTATTTAGTCTTTTTCAGATGGTCTCGCTGTGCAGTTCAGGCTGGCCTTGAGCTCACTTTGTAGCCCAGGCTGGTCTCTAACTCGCAAAGATCCTCCTGCCTCAGCCTGCTGAGTGCTGGAATTACAGGCATGCGCCACCACTCCTAAGAGTCTTTTATACTTAGAAACTTTGTGACTTGTGATGCTAACAAGTATGTTGAACTAAAATGTAAAAGTTAAATGTCAGAATTAAAGGGTGGATGGCAGATAGTATTTTTCAAACACAGCTACAGCAATATTTCTAGTTTGACATGGTCTCCGCAGGCCATTCAGAACTGTAAAATGAAATGATTTATGACTTCTCTCTCATGTTCTCATCCATCTGTAGCCAACAGTCCTTCAGTAAAAATACACACTGAAACGTTCATTTAAGCATGTGAATCCAGTTTCACATTTTATCCCAGCAAGGCTGAAATGCCCGTTGGTCTCCGTGTCTTTGAGTTCAGATGTTTAGCTTAATTTTGTGAGTTAACAATGCTAATTTGTTGGTTTTTGTTTGAACGCCAGAGCTCAGGCCTGGGTATTGCCTTGACTAGTAAAGAGACTTAGATTATAATTCAACACTAGAATACTGCTTATGTCCAAGTCAAGCTGAATGGCTTCTGGCATTGGCTCAAGTGGTCTATGGGGACTATTGAATGTGTGACTTTATTTTACTACTTATGATTTTTGTGTTAGTAACGCATACAAATCTGGTGTGGGGGCCGCTCGTCTTAACTGCATTTTCTTAGGTTACAGTTTTAAAATCTAAATGCCAGGACTGAGCTAAAATACTGTGATGAAATCTTCTATGTAGAGAAAGGACAGGGAGCCTATCTGATCTTAAAATCTAAAAATGAAACCAGAAAAGATAGACCATGGAGAAACAAAGTGATTCACTGGTTACTTTTCCAAATGTGTTCTCACACTTGTCTGAACTGCTAGGGTCAGTAGAAGTAGAATCCCTGTGATGGGCAGGCTCCCTAGCTGGCCTCCCTCACGGATCTACAGCTGCTTCTGGGGCTTCAGCAGGAGCTTAAGCGGTCATCAGGAAGTGGGCAGCCAGGTAGAAGACAGAGCCTTAGAAGACAGTTA